CCTTTCTAGCCAAAGTCATCAGCATCCTTTGGTGTAAAATCCTTTGCAACTGATCAAAATTAACCTGTGTGCACAGGGTGTTTGTACAACCCCAGAGTCCCCATGGTGCTATCCTGCAGTGCTGCATGGGCAAGTCACCTCTGGAGAAACCTCCCGGTGGCACTTAGGCTTTCAGCAGTCCCAGCACTACTCCATGCTTCTACTAGTGTCAGGAGCATTCCTTGCTTCCCAGCGCAGCAGAAGCACAGTGCTAGCATGCTGAAAAGCAATTAATGACACTCATTAGCCTGCTGTTGCTAACAGATCCAACAATAGCAATGGGTCATTTTGCAGCACCTGGTATTTGTAAGGAAAACAATGAGATGTTGCTCCTGTAAGGCCTTGAAAGAGGCAGCACTGGGGTTTGTCTGTGTAACATTCAAGGGTAACCTGTCTGCTACCACGCAGCTCCAGACCAATAATTAAAAAATAGTATGCTGAATGAGGTGGGTGCCCTGGTGACAGAGGATACAAAGAAGACAGAGTTACTGAATGCCTTATTTGTCACTGTCTTTACTGCTGGAGACCCTCCCCAGGAGCCCCAGACCTCTGAGGACCCAGAGGAAGTCAGGATAAAGGAGAAGTTTGCCTTGGTTGAAAAAAACTGGGTTAGGGATCAGTTAAGCAATCTGGACACCCATAAATCCGTAGGTCCTGATGGGATGCACCCATGGGTGCTGAGGGGGGTGGCAAAAGTCATTGCTAGGCCACTCTCCATCATCCTCCTTGGTAAGTCGTGGGGAACAGGAAAGGGCCAAGCTGGGGAGAGAAGTTTTGCAATGAGTTGTAACTCATGAGGCTCCTGGCCTTACTTAGTGTGATCTGTGACCTTCAATGCCACCCTGGGAAAGCAGATTCTCTCCTATCCATTAACCCTCCCTCCCAGGTTAACCCTTTTCCTGGTCCAGAGTGGGCCAGCCCTGGGAGATCCAATGCCTGGGGGAGGGATGGGTTCTGAGTTTCTACTTCACTTATTCAGCAGGTTCAGTCTGTTGAATAAGTAACTTCACAGGTGGGTCTGTGTGCAACCCACTGGTAGGATTTTAGATTGTAAATCAACTAAGTACTATCACAGATCCCAGCATGGTAGTCTTGAGAGCTGACACATTTACAGCAGGTCCTGGAGCCTGACCATGCAAACACCATCATTCCCTGTTCTATCAAAGGTGATATAAGTTAGCTATTCCAGCAAATGCATGAAGTACAGCACTACCAAGAAATGGAAGCCTAATTGCTATGGTCTTTTAAGTAAGAATGCATTTGCAAAAATAATATAATCTCCATTCAGACAAATTTCAGCCAATTATCATTGCCTTGAAGCCAAGATCTATTAGCTCTGAATCTGGTTTTACTCAGTTACTAAAGCACACTGGAAATGCCCAAAAACCAAACTATTATTACCTTTTACTCATTAGTAGTCAAAATGATTTTGAAACTTAATGGGGCCAGTTTTCTTCCTTCCATCTGTAGCTTTTCAAGCTTGACAATGCTTTTTGGAATAACAGCTACCTGCTGGTCTTGGGTCACTGGGCTGTCTTCAAGGCATCATTGCATTCAGTTGCACATCCAATTAGCATGTATAGCTAAAATACATTTTTGCTTCTTTTTTTCCCCTGGTGCCATCAAAATACTAATTTGGACCAAGGCAAATGCCCCAGGACAAAGACAAACATACCAAACATACATACCAAACTATCACACATTCTTTCTCAAACCCCATGGGCCAAAGACAGCTCCAGCACAGTCTGCAAGAAGGTGGCCACATTTTCATGCTTACTAGCTCACTTTGTTGTAAACAGACCCCAAGCACACAGTGTTTCCCTTCAGAGCAGCTCAGTTCAATTCAAGAAGCCACTGGAATAAGCTAGCTTTTGATCCATAAAGCAGAGCTATAATTTACATTTTGTTCTGTTTTTCCTTCTTATCACCAGTGCCGTCAGAAGACTCTTGATTCATGATTGTGGCAATGGAAACACTGAAGCACTGAGACAGCAGCATGGAAGATGCAACGTTACTGACCCGCTATTCCAGGACACTGTGGGTGTCCCGGGAGATTACGTTGCCGGAGGGAAACAGCCTTGCTGATGGGTAGCTTGAGGTCCACAGAAGCTTGTGAACAGGCACCAAAATTATTTAATAGACTGCGAGTGAAGAGAGCAGAACACAGGGGAACAGGTTTTGTGGGAAAGCAAGCAGATATAACTTGATAGGAATCTGATTTCTGAAGCAACCTCAAGTTACCCCATGCAAGTAGGTCTTAGACAGTGATCCTGTGCACACTCTCACAGCTTGAAGGAAAAGCACAAAGTTGCCTCTAAACACTTCTGCCCTGCACTGGAAGCCAGAATCCCAAAACCTCCCTTATCCCTAATGCTGGAAATGACAGATCAACAAGACCCAGGATCACAGCTTGCAACAAAGCCAGCTACATGCCATGGCCAAGGATTGCAAATCCAGTGGGAATAGACACCCATGTCAGATACCCACAACCTCACCTCTAGCCCACCCAATTTGCTACAATGCAAATTGAAAACCAAAACTCAAAATGCAGACTTCTGAAGAAGATGAATAAGTCACAAAAATACATTTTCACAGCAGCTAGACAGTTTTTCCAGCCTCCTCCATGGCCCACCAGCAGCCCCAGCTCTTTGCAGGAGGACTCTGGGTGTCTCTGCAGCCCTGCCTGCGGATGGGCAGAACCTGAGTGTGAGGAAGCTGCTCAGTGCTTTGAAGAGCCAGTACAGACCCAAGGCAGATCTGGATCAGCCCTGGGATCAGCCTGCAACGCTGCAGTCCTGTCAAACACAAGGAATCTTTTCAACAAGAGGCTAAGGAAAGGATCCTGCAGAAATCTCGTAACTGGGAATCTTTTTGACGCAGTGAACAACCATGGAAACTTTTCCAGGAAATGTGTTTCTTTATTTAAATAAAAATTAGTGCCAGTAGAAACAATAAACTTTAAATACATAAGACAATTATATACAACTCAATGTTAGGAATCATATACATCAGATTTTTACAGATACAAATACCTTTATACCCAAGTAAAAGGACAAAGGAGAAAGCAATGGAAAATGTGACAACTCGCGCATGTCAGTCTCATTTGGAAAGTTTCAGGATTCAAGTGATTCCAGGCAAAGTGCCAAACTTAATTTGGCTTCTTTCAAACTTAAAACAGCCCCTTTTGGAGTAAATCTACCAAAAAGCTTTATATGGTCTGATCCAAAGTTCACTGAAGTGGATGGAAAAACTCCCACTGCCTTCAGTCTGAGCTGAATCAGGCCCTTTCTGAGCACAATGGAGCCTTTGTTCAGAGAGAGACAGAGATACCTCTGCAGGCTACATCCCATCCTATTAACCCTCCAAGCCAAAACCAGAGTTCCCCCTTCTAAATGGCAGAACATCAGGCTCCTGCCTCAGCTCATTTCTGCTGTTCAGTGTTCAGATATTTCAAGCTGCCTCTCAAGCTCTAATGCCAGTGGATAAATCACAGAGCTATTTTAACGCAGGAAACATGTGGAAATATTTTGCAAACATTTTGCTGTGCAATGCTTTAGATTCAGGCTCTTTGGCCCTCATGGTTCAGAACTAGTCCAAACATTGTAATAAGTTATTAAAAAATATACAGCATGATTAAAATAATCATACGCTGCTACAATATTAACATTACTTCTTTCAACAGTGCAATAATTTAGAAACTAATTTTATGAGCATTTGAAAAAAAAGTCACAGTACCATTAAACTAGGGGAAGTTTGTGGTGGTTTTAAAAACTAGTTACTAATGACTTTATAGAAATGCATGTGTCACATGCAAGTTGATTTAAAACAAATAAACAAAGATGTAATGCGATGTTTATCTACACTGGCTTAAACACGGCAGAAAGGCCAGATTCTCTAATGATGTAAATGGGCACAGCTTTATTGATCTGAAATGGAGAATTTAAGCCCAAGAGAGAAGGACAAAATCTTGTGCTTGTCAGGAAGACTCAGCTGATTACTTCAGTAGGGTCTGGATTTCACCCTTGCTAGGTTAAATTCTATTTTGAATTCCACCTATTTTTCAAGGGGGCGTAAAAGAGCAGCATTTGTTCAAGCCTTTCTACGTCTTACACCTTGTAGCAAAGATCTTTTAACGTATTTTCTTAATTTACAGATCTTTGCCATTAGTGACCAAATATACAAGTCTTTAAAAAGTACAAAAGCAAAAAAACCCGAATTTTCCTACTAGTAACTCAGTCAAAGGCTGGACTGCAGCAGAAGTTAGTGAACCTGCCCCAGCCAGTACAGGTACAACTTAAGCAAAGATAGATACAGTGGCACAGATCTGAAACTGAGCTTTACAAACCTCCTAGAAATGTGGTGTCTCTTTTTATTTTTTTATTTTTATTCTTTTCCGTGCCTGAGGTCAGGCTCCAGCTGTGCTGCAATCTCCCTTCAACTACAGTATTGACAGCTTTTCAGCTTTTGAGGCCTCATTGAGCTGGTGGCTGTGGGTTGTTATAAGAAAAACAGAATAAAAGTATTTCTAGTCTATCACACTTCTGTGGGAATGAGCATTACCAACTGTCTTTAACAACCAGGCACTTGTGTTAGGGTAACTTTCCTAAACATTTCCCAGATATTTGCAGAATTCTGAAATATGCAGAGACATGCCAGTAATAGTTACCTCTACCTTTAAAAAATATATATATATATATATATTCCCCTTGTTCTTAGCTCTTATGGCAAGAAATAGTAATGGAAAAATTAATAGAAAAACCTTAGCATCCCAATTATGTGCAAGTTGCACTTTGGAGTTGGGCACCACTGCTTCGTTGTCCTGCCAGCTCTCAGGAACACCTCAGGCCCTGGGGCACAGACACCTGTTGAGAGTTCATTGGGGAGCAGGAAAGTAGAACCACAAGATCTTAGTGGGAGCTCCACTCACGCTTTGGCAGCTGATCAAGGGAGCCCTGCAAGTGCTAGGAGTTCTTGTGGATGTTTTCTGCAGATCCCTCGCTGCTCTCGTTCAGGAGCGTTTCTGACACTTCCCCCAGCTCAGCATCCAGCACCTCCTCCTGGATGGTGAAGTGCACGTCTGGGGAGGAGGACTCGGAGCTCACGCTGCTGCCTTCCATGGAGCAGATGGCACAGGACAGGGAGGGCACCATGCTCTCCTGCAGCATGTTCAGCATCATGGGGATCTGGGCAGATTTCAGCCCTGCTATGGTTGGTAGAGGCTTCACAGCTTCCCCCCACTCTCTCTCCTCATCTTTGTAGAGCAGAAGCAAATTGGATGACTTATCTTTTCTTTTTGATTTCATGTAGCCCAGCATTATCCCTATCAGGAAGATCCCATAGAAAGACATGACGATCAGGATGTAAAAATACTCATTGCTGTTGTTCTTCTCCACGTTGCGGGATTCAGCATCAAGCATGGCTTGAGTCATGTTTGCATGGTCCATCTTCAGCATGGAAAGTGGTCTGCCACAGCTAAAGCCTGCAGGAGATTATGCATGTGTAAGTAAGACCAAACATCAGATCAAAGATGTGAAAGAAATATCTGAAAAATGATACTCCCAAACTATTCCTGGCTACTTGTAATTTGCCAGCTTTCAGGCCACGCCTGATTGAAGCTTGCAGTCTGTCATACCCCTGCATTAATATTGTGAGTGAACTGTCATCCAGATACAGAAAACATTAGTGGAAAGAAAGTAATTTGTATTAAATCATGCTGAGTTCTATGCTGAATTATAAAAACCCCAATCCACATGATTAAAGAACTAAAATTATGCAGAAATACTCTGCTAGGGACTTAAACATAGTTTTATGGTACTTGACTGGGTTTCCATCAAGAGGGAAAAAAGTTAGAAGTATTCTTTTATTAAATGGTGCAGCAAAAAAATCATAAAGCAACTTACGTCGGTATGCAAATAATTCCTCCTTTTGCAAAGCTCCAGAGACCTTTCCTCTAGCAAATGCTGGGAGTTCTGAAAACTTTCCTCTGCTGCAGTTGGAATAAATAGCTCTCAAGAAATGTTTCATCACGTGTTTTAGAGGCACAGTTTATAATAGTTTTGTGTTGGAGTCAACAGATGAACTTGAAGGATTGCAGTTCAACCCACTGAACTCTTAACAGCTGTGAAAAGAAAAAGAGTTGGGAATTCAGATTTTACTCTTTCCTAACCAGTTCAGCACTGGCTCTTCTGCTTGTGAATCTGTTCCTTTCATTGCCATCCTAATTGCTAAATCTGACCTGTTACCCTGACTGATGCTGTGTAGAATGGAAAACCTGCAAAACCCTATTTTGTGTCTTGTTTTAAAATGTATATACACACACACGTAAACTTTATAGTAGACACTATCAAGCTATTAATATGCCTGCTATACACTGTTTTCCCTAAAGATATGGAGAATGAAACAGGTTATTTTCACTGCCTGGTACCAGCAGCAAAGCTTTACAAGGTATGTGCAAAACAAAGTGGTGACTTTGGCAGCTCCTCTTTGCACAAGGTGTGGGGCTGTGGAGAGCTGGGCCCCAGGTCTTAAGTGAGTTTTGGATAGAGGGGTGTTGGTGCTGCCTAGCTTTGGCTGTCACAGCAGCAACTGTGGGATTTTGATTCCCTATGTAATCAGTGGAAGGGTGCAGACTCTTCCAAGGAGTAACTCAAAGCTCCTGAAGTTAGGACAAGGAAGTCTGCTGCTCCCACTGTTAGTAGAAGCAGCCACGAGTGACATGGTCTGCATGCTGTTCGTGCATACAGAGACCCAGACCACTGAGTTAATGCAGATTTTAACCTGAGGGGATGTTAACAACTTCTGGGCAGAGGGATGCTCTCTGAGTGGCTGCTGGAGGCTGTGGCTGCTGGGCTGAGCAGGATGCTCCTAGGCCACTGGGGAGGGCAGAGTTATGATGCAGGCTGGGTGGGGAGGGCCCCAGTCATCAGTTCAGTGGTACAGGAGCTGTCGAGACCCCTTCTCAACACGTAAGCAACAGTACAGGCCATGGGAAGAAGGAGGCCCTGCTTGCACCTTGGGGATTTCACTTCCTTATCCTCTACATCCCTTTCTTCACACACAAAGCTCAATTAGTCAGGCCCCACATATGTGATGTGAATGTCACCCCTTCTGCAATGCTTCAAGGATGTTTATGCAACAGAACACTCCACTTCCAGAAAGTAGCCGACCGGTGCTGCAGTTTCCCAATGGTAGGTCTGGGGTTTTTTTTCTTCTGCAGTCACTGGTGGATTCTTTGCACAGACAGCAAATTCTTATTCAAACTCTGCCCTCACAATCCCTCTGAGGTAAAAGCAGGATTAACCTCTCTTCACATACAGCAAAAGGCAAGAGAGAGGAGTTATGCAACTTCAAGTGAAGAATTCAAGGAAAGACAGCATTGAATCTGGGTTAGGACCCAGCATTTCCCATCATCTCCCTGAACAACTCAACAAGAAATAAAAAAAAAATTTTAAAAGTACATGAGCCAGATTCCCTTTTCTGCCCCTTAAAATAGAGGATCCACCCTTTAGGATGTTGGTTTTATCTCCTTATGCATTCCCATGTGATAGCTCAGGAGCTGTTGATGTTGGACTAATGTCTACTGGGATTTCATCTGACAAAATCTGTCTGCAGCACCAGCTCGCCAAGTCTGGATTCTTCTTCCCTGCTCCTGACAAATTACTGAGCAGGCAGCAGGAGCACATTAGCTGGTAGGCTGAAGCATAACCCTGAGCAAGTCTCTGGATTTTCTAACTAAATTTGGGGAATTTTGATTTCACATCTTTCTCAGCTCCATGCAATATTTGCTGTCCCATTCAGCTCCAGAAATTAGGAATTTGAAAAATTAAAGACAAAGAGCATTAGGTTTTACCAACACCCTTTCAGGCAGGGCTTTCAGAAGATGATGAAGAAACTCCCAGCACTGCTGGGTCAATGCAAATTGGGGCAGTATGAGGAGAAATTCTCTCTGTGCCCATGACACCCTAGGAAACCAACTCTGAAGCTGCTTAATTCTGGGAACAAGAAGACATAAAGCCTCTCCAGTTGCCTCCTGTTGTCAGTGTTACACACAAGGCATCATCCACCCCAACAGAAAGGGCACTCTCAGGTATCCAGAGTCACCAACACCCCACAGCTGTTACCAGTTCAGAGGTCTGCCAGCTTTCTGCAGCTGTCTGCAGGTGCAAATAGGGTCTCTTATTTGCTCCAAAACTTCACATTCATATAGGTGAAGCTCTGTATAATGTTGCCGAGATGAACTGCAGCACCCAACAGAAGCCCAGGAGGACTGCTCAGGCTGATACGTAGTTTTATGCAACCCCCCGAAGTTAAACCAAAAGAAGACTGAATTGCATAATTATGCATAGTTATTGCTGAAAAGTCTTTGCAAATAAATTTACTTTGGCTAGCTGATGACAACAACTCACCTCCATCTGTTAGCCCATGATTCTGAAAAACAGTCTGATTTTTAAAAGCCTGGAAGGAATCCCTGAGCCTTCTATGGACATGAAGAGGAGGAATAGGAAGACACTGGGGAATAACCACCTGAAAAACATATGCCCCATATGGTGCCTAAATCAGTTGTCTCAATCTGTACCCTGGAGAAACTATATTTTTATCTAAAAAACAAACCTAGAAATTCAAATCTTGGAGCCTTTTAACTTTATGTTTCAAAATTACTTTTGTTGCATATTATATTACACACTGCATAATGTGAACCTGTTGGCCACAGCAAAAATATTTAATTAATTTGAAGTAATTAATTTTTTGGAGTTAAGGTCCCTAACTATTTCTTATTTGGGGTTTCTTTCTTCCTTTTGCATCAAATATCTTTTTCCAAACCTCACAGAATTTCCATTGCAATTTCTCTTACAGACCTTTACACTTCCAGCAATCGCCTCACAACCGTTCCTCTTCATCTTCATCACCTCCCAGCCAAGGCTTAAGGCATTTAAGAATAACCCTTACGCTGTGGCTCCCACTTTCCAGAATCTCCCTTTGGAAAACATTCAGGCTAATAAAGCAGAGCAACAGCCAGGCACTCAAACGATGAAAAGGTCACAACATAGTTGCTGATGCCAGATTTTTTTTCTCAAGGTCCCTGTCTCCTAGAGAGCCTTTTGTGGCAGAAACCTCCGTCACCAAAGGACGCAGAAGTTGAGGCTTGAGGCATCCCACAGGGCAGGAATTCTTCACAATGTGGCTTAAGGGATAGTATAATGTGAACCCTTTCTCCAAATAAAAATTTGAGGACAATCAGAAAACTGAACAGACTCCACTATGAAGACAACATGAACTGTCCTCAGAGACTCAGATGATTCTCTGCAGGCTGCCACAGAAAATATATGCCTAACCCATCATTGCAGGCATAATCCATCGTCTGATGCTGCATTTATCTTTCTTTTTCCAGCTAATGAGCTAATAAGACTAAAATAGAAGACACAACTGTTAAAGGGCTAGCTCCTAGGAAAGGCTCGGACTGTTTGAAAAGTGTATGCTGAGAGTATAACTCTAAAGAGGACCTTGGCATGTGCATTTTTAGAGTAATAATCTGAAAACTGAAAGACAAATGGGAAGAACAGAAAAGTTGGGGTTTCTCCCTGCACATGGACCTTTAATGGAAGCAACGGTTGGGAATTTACTGCTAGGGAGAAAAGGGGGGGAGTGCAAATATTTACTTAGTTATGATTTAGACCTTGCAGACAGTGCAGCTGGGAAAGGACAGCAAAGATGATCAATATCTTTCACTCACATTTATTATTCCAGTTAAAGCAATATTAGAACTCAAGAGCTCTAACGTTGCCACTATGAAGAGAGGCATAATGGAAAGGGCTGTTTGTGCCCTGCATCTCATCCAAAGCTCCTAGAAGTCAAAGCCCCTTGAAGTCAAGGCAGAGCCTCACCTAAAGCAAATCAGATCAGGAACAGCACCTGCTCCTTTCGAGTTTCATGCAACTCAGAGGCAATTCTCAGTGATGCTTGTGAACATCTTGGAATAAAAAAAGCTTATGTAAAAGGAGCAAGCAAGTCATGCACTCATTCCCAGAGCTAGGAATGAACAGCAGCCCAACACAAGCCACGTGTCTCCTCGCTAACAAACTTACTTACAGAATGAAATTTATGAGCTTTACTATATACTCTTAATTAACATTTTTATGCCTCAGTTCACCCACCTGTAAAATGGATCTAATCAGACCTCCAAAGGGCACGTGCTGGGAGGGTGCAGTAGGTAACACACTTGCAGATCACCTGAAGGAGTAATAGCTGTGCTGTCCATAACCACAACAGCATTACCACATGGCTGGGCTGGCATTTGAGCAATTCTCACACAGCTCTAAGTTTGGTGTCATTTTCCATCACTCTGCCTTATTTCTCATGCTGCAGAAATAGATGACTTTTAAAATATACTTCACACAAGCAATTTCTAGAGGAAGGTGGCAATTTTGTCAGTGTCATCCACAATATACATGTATAC